AATGATAAATCATATTAGGCCCTCCCTTAGATCATTGGGCCGTACTTAAAACTCAAACCGGGCCCAGTTTAGTAAATTGGCCATAAATTCCTCAATATTCATCGGAATTGGGCTTATAATATATCGTCGGAAAGGTCTTTGCAAGCCCCATCCAACTACACCACTATTGAACCCATATCATGGACCAACCAAACTGGATTGACTGTTTTCTTAAAATAAAGTTTTCAAAAACAAAGAGAAGAGAAAAGAAAAGAAAAGAAATACAAACCTTTCCGCAACACTAGACCTTTCCACACTTTCGTTTCATTCGATTATGATTCGACGTGAAAGGCACTCATCACTGGGTTTGGTTTTGGGGAGACACAAATGGGTGTCTACAATACCAAAGCAATTAAAATTACAGCAATACTAAACTACTTTAAAACCTCTTAAATCACCAAAATAAAGTCTTTAGATTGTCCCCAAAAATCAAAGTTAGTAATATAACATCCCAACTTTAAATTTACATGTTAGAATTATGAAAATATAGTGTTTTATATCAAATTACAGCAACTTTAAAGTGGGTAAATAAATCTGAATTTTGTTTTAAATATATAAAATAACCCCATAAGCATAATTACTTGAATTAGTCATTATATAGGAAGTTAGTGTGTTAAAAACCCAAGAAAATATCAATTCAATGAAATTAGAGGCTTCAAAAAAAAAGGTATGAAATCTGGAAATTATTTTTAAAGTTGGAATATAAAGTTCAAAGCTTTTTCAATCACAAAATACTCACAATGATTATTTTGTAGGTTTAGAAGCATAAAAACACGAAATTAACACTACTTGTTCATAAAAATTGAAACTTTAATAAATCTGAAAATTTATTTATGATTAAGATAATTATATTTTAATGTAATTTAAACATAGTATGATTATATAGTTTGTTTAACACGTAATCAAGCCTTAAAACATGAAAAATCAATGTTTTAAACCCTAAAATATGCAAAATACATAATCTGAAATTTTATTTAATAATTTAGACATACAAAATCCATAAATTTATAATCTTTTGTAATTTATACATACTATTAAGGCCTAATAACAATAATTTTATAATTAAAAACAAATAAAGATTGAATCTTTAATCAAAATAACAAGAATTAAGAGGAAGAGAAATAGGGGGAAGGAGAAGGGAGGAAGGCGAACTGCAGGGAGGGAGGTCGGCTGGGCGGCGGTCAGGCGGTGGCGCGGCGGTGCTGGTGGCTGGGCAGTGGTGCAAGGTTTTTTTTTTTCTTCTTGCTGAATGTCGTGAAGAGGGAGGAAGCAAGGAGTGAGTTTTCTTTTTTTTTTTTCTTACTTGAGAAGGAGGAGAAGTGTGGGGAAAATAAGGTGGGTATGATTAATAAGAATTGGGTTTGAGGGTATCCTAATCCAAATATAATTAGGATAACTTGTTTAGGCCCAAATATATACCAAAGCTTAAAAAAAACATGTGGTGTAAGGTTGGGCTTTGAGGTAACTTGGACTAGGCTCTTAGTTTGTATGGGTAAAAGGATTATTGTCAATAGTTAGTAGTGGCTAAATAGCTTAAAACTAATTTATTATTTTCGAAATATTTATAAAATTATACAATTATCGTAAAATAATCATATAATTAATAATAAAATATAATTATTATAATTACAAAATCACGGGGGATTACAATCTACCCCTCTTAAAAGAAGTTTCGCCCTCGAAACTTTACCCAAAATCCATAGTTCCTCAAAAGTATTCAAATCTATGCGTTTTGTATTGCTGTAAATTGCTTGCTTCTCAACAAACACACTTCACAAATCGAACTTTGTACTCAATGAACTCATATTTGGCCAGAGTTTACATACTTTTATTGTATGTAAACGCACTAATGATGCATAATGATATAATTGAGGTAAAAGCGCGCGAAATTACATCGCATTCTTCCCCCCTCAAAAAAAAGAGTTACGCCCTCGTAACTCACCTCGTCAAACAACTCGGGATATTTGTTTTTCATCTCTTCCTCGGCCTCCCAAATAGCCTCTTCGTACTCCTGGTTTGACCAAAGGACTTTCACAATCTTCACATCTTTGTTTCTAGTACTACGCACCTTGTGGTCTAGTATCTTGACTGGTCTTTCCTCATAAGTTAGAGACTCATCTAGTTGAATAGTCTCCGGCTGCAAAACATGGGTTTCACTAGGCACATACTTTTTCAGTTGGGAAATGTGGAATACATCATGCATTTTCTCGAACTCCATTGGCAAAGCCAATTTGTAAGCCACTTTCCCCACACGTTGGAGAATTTCATACGGATCCACATATTTTGCACTAAGCTTCCCTTTCTTGCCGAATCGCATCACACCTTTTGTTGGAGAAACCTTTAGAAATACTATGTCCCCAACATTAAAATCATCATCTCTCCTCTTCAAGTCAGCATAACTTTTCTGTCTATCTTGTGTTACCTTGATACGCGACTGGATTAGTCTCACCTTGCCCACCATATCCTCAATGAAATCTGTACCCTAAGTAACCCGTTCACTGTAATCATTCCAGCAAACTAGGCTTTTGCACTTCCTTCCATACAATGCTTCAAAAGGTGCCATCTTGATGCTTGCATGGTCACTGTTATTGTAGGAGAATTCGATCAAGGATAGGTGATCCTCCCAATGTCCTCCATGGTTTAGTTTGTTCTCTCAGTCTGACCATCGATTGCAGGGTGAAAGGCAGTACTCATCTTCAATGCTGTCCCAAGGTTCTCTTGCACTTTTTGCCAAAACTTTGATAGAAACCTCGAGTCTCTATCTAACACTATGTCTTTGGGAACTCCGTGCAACCGAACGACATTCTTCACATAGACGCTTGCTAGCTGCTTCTTTTTCCAGGTTTCTTTGATAGGAATGAATATCGCTGACTTAGTAAGTCTGTCTACAATCACCCAAATTGTGTCATTCCCAGTACGAGTCTTTGGTAAGCATGTCACAAAGTCCATGGATATGGAATCCCACTTCCAACTTGGTATTTTTAATGGTTGTACCTTTCCCATGGGTCTTTTGTGGTCTATCTTCACTTTCTGGAACGTCAGACATTTAGACACAAACTTAGCCACTTCTCTTTTCATATTCAGCCACCAATAAAACTCCTTCAAATCCTTATACAACTTATCGCCCCCAGGGTGAACTGAATATGGTGTATTATGGAACTCCTCCATGATTTTCCTTTTGAAATCCTCACACTTCTGTGGTATGCACCGTCTCTCCTTGTATCTCAAACTCCCATCCTCATGAATCTTGAATTCAGTCTCCACACCACTAGTCACACGATCTCTAATCTTATGAAACGACTCATTCTCCAGTTGCTTTTCTTTAATCTCCTCAAATATGGAAGGTTGGATGGTTAAAGCACCCAAGAATCCCTTTAACTCTCCTTTGTTGATAACCTCAAGGTTCAATCTCCTCATATCTTCACACAAATCATTGGCCACAATCAAAGCATTGACATTATGACTCGACTTTCTGCTAAGGGCATCCGCAACTACATTCTCCTTTCCCTTGTGATACTGGATGTGGACATGGTAGTCTATAAGATATTCCAACCATCTACGTTGCCGCATGTTCAAGTGATCTTGGGTACAGATGTACTTTAGACTTTTATGGTCCGTGAAGATCTTACAAGAAACACCTTAAAGGTAGTGCCTCCAAATCTTCAAAGCGAATACAACAGCTGCAAGTTCCAAGTCATGGGTAGGGTAGTTGACTTCATGCTTCTTCAGTTGTCTCGATGCGTATGCGATCACCCTTCCATTCTGCTGTAGGACACATCCAGACCATGCTTCGAGGCATCACTATACACTTCGAATCCTTCTATCCCATCAGGTAATACCAGCACTGGTGTAGTGGTTAATCGCTCTTTGAGGGTTTGAAAAGCTGACTCACAACTCTCGTTCCACTCAAACTTGCTCTGCTTCTTCATAAGAGTAGTCATGGGTCAGGCTATCCTCGAAAAATCCTTGACAAACCTTCTATAATATCCAGCTAATCCCAAGAAACTACGAACATCAGTCACATTCTTAGGTGTAGACCACTCACTCACCGCCTTGATCTTTGCAGGATCTACGGATACACCCTCCTTCGAAATGTAATGCCCCAAAAATGCCACTTTCTCCAACCAGAACTCACACTTGGAAAACATAGCATACAGTTTGTTCTTTCTAAGAGTTTCAAGGGTAGTTCTCAAGTGCTCAGCATGTTCTTCCTCATTCTTTGAATACACCAAAATGTCATCAATAAACACAACTACAAACTTATCCAAATACTCATGAAAAACTCGGTTCATCAAGTCCATAAATATCGCTGGTGCATTGGTTAACCCAAAAGGCATGACTGTAAACTCGTAATGTCCATACCGAGTTCTAAAGGCTGTTTTTGGAATGTCTTTATCTGCAACCTTCAACTGATGGTACCCTGACCTCAAGTCAATCTTTGAAAACACGTTCGCCCCCTTCAGTTGGTCAAACAAGTCATCTATCCTAGGTAGAGGGTACTTATTCTTTACAGTCACATTATTCAACTCTCTATAATCAATATATAGTCTCAAACTTCCATCCTTCTTTTTCACAAATAGCACAGGTGCTCCCCAAGGTGATGCATTGGGCCTAATGAACCCCTTGTCTAACAACTCCTGCAATTGAGCCTTTAGTTCACACATCTCATCCGCTGCCATTCTATACGGTGCTTTGGAGATAGGTACAGCTCCTGGAACTAAGTCAATGGTAAACTCAACTTCCATCTTAGGTGGCATTCCCGAAATCTCTTCTAGAAAGACATCTAAAAACTCATTCACAATGGGCACATCCTCCATCCGCCTATTCTCACTCATACTCAAATCTTGAACACAACAAAAGTACAATGGACATCCCTTATTCACTAGCTTCTTCACCTTCATCGTAGAAATGATCCCAAAACCTTTAGGCTTCCACAATCGTCTATAGGACACTTTCTTACCCTAAGGGTCACTCAGTTGTACCCTCTGCATCTCACAGTCTATCTTAGCCTTGTATAAACTCAGCCAATCCATCCCCAGAATGACATCTAAGTCCCCTAGGTTAAACTCAATAAGATCTAATGGAAAGATAGCTTCTCCTATTTTCAAAGGCAAGCCTTTGAATATTTTATTACAATGAACAAGTTTGCCCATAGGCAGACTGACTGACACGTCAACATGACTCGATTCAGTTAAGTTTAACTTGCGCACAACAGAAGTAGAAATGAAAGAATAAGATGCTCCAGAGTCAAATAGAGTGTTGACAGAGATAGATTGGATAGAAAAAGTACCGGTAACTACATCCGAGGACCTCTCAGCTTCTCCCTTGCTCATCACAGACAAGCGGCCGGGAGTGTTGTTTCTTGCCTGATACCCATTGTTGTTGTTTCCTGAGTTGTTGTTGTTGCCATTTCCATTTCCAGACCTGTTGTTATTGTTGCTACCATTTCCAAACTTCCCATTTTGACCATTTTCCCTATTCCCCTGGTTATTGAAATTGTTAGGCCTCTGCTGGGTGTTCCCACCATTCCCACTATTTCCCTGTTGTCTCTGTTTGGTGTAACACGCATACACCCTGTGTCCCTTCTTGTTGCAGAACCTGCAGGTCACCGAATTCCCATCACAGTCTCTCCCAGGGTGGTTCCTTCTACACTTCTTACAGTGGTAGGTTCTCTCCCCATTGTTAGCTTTGGAAGAACTTCTAACATTCTGGTTACTCCTATCAAACGAGTTCCCATTCCTAGACCTCTTGAAATTACCCTGGTTTTCGGATTTCCCAAAATCCTTCCTTTTTTCCCCAGCTTTAGCACTCGCAATAGCAGTTGATTTGGGTATTTTTACCCGGCCAGGTGGCCCAATCAAAAAGCGCCACGTGTCCTCAGTAAAAGTGCCATTTGGACCTATGAGATGATGACACGTGGAGGGTGGACATTCTTCGTTTTGTCCTAAACAGACTGATGATCCAGCATGGACCATTCAGACGGCGACACGTGTCACCCAAAAGATGCCCAAAGGCCTTTTGGGCTTAGTGACACGTGTCACTCAGGCATTGCCTCTGGAATGGCGGCCTTCAAGGGCCCAAATCCCGAGGCGCTGTTTTGCGGCGTGACCTAATTCCTACGTCACCAGATCCTAGGGAGGGCACACTTTCCAAAAGGACTCTATAAATAGGGACATTCTTACATTTATGACAAGACAAATATACACGCAATACGAGATAATACGTCACTTACTACAGTGTTGTCATTTTCAAAGAACAGACAACACTTTACCTGAGCTTGGAATCCGAGCAGATAAACTTTACTTCCGCACGTTTTATTACCGAACGCTTACTAACTTAATCTTCGGAGGCGGACCACCGACCATCCGGCGGTCCGTTTGCTTTGCAGGTACAGGCGTCCTTTGCTGAATCCAGTCTCAGTGTTGTAACTCTCCCAAGGGACTAAAACCCCCGAAACATTTGGCGCCGTCTGTGGGGAGAGTACCTCTGAAATGGCTTCACAAGTACCTGTACCGAACCCAAAGGCCAATCGGCCTCCAGAAGACATAGTGGTCCAAACGGACCATGACTCAGGTGACGACGTTGACGTCGAAACCTATGTGGATCCAAATGGATCCCTCATCTCTAAACGCATCTGCAGTAAGGAGAGGCGGGAGCGTCACCATGACCAGGCAGGGCCAAGCAAAACTGCTGGTCAGCCAAAGAAGCCCTCGGGGCGGCCGGTTGATCCTTCCCAGGCGGCAGGATCAACTCCTGTCACTCGAGATGAACTAATGACACTCTTGAGAAGCCTCAGGGGTGAAATCAAACAACTCACCTCAAAGAAGTCGCCTACTCCTAGAAAGGAGCAGTCGGCCAGGAAGCCAACCCAAGCTGGCAAACAGAAGTCGGTCAGGGACCGTCAGCCAACTCCTCATCCTGCGCCTACGGAGAAGGCCCGACCCCAATTTGACCTTACTCGGCTCCGTTTCCCAGAAACGGGCACAAGAAAAGCTATCCGGCACATACAGCCGAATGGTAGCAAGAAAACATTCTCTGGCGCTTGGCAATACATTGAGCAGAAGAGGACCCAACTATCAGAGTCGGCTTCAACGTCGACTTATCATGATAGCTTTAGGAATACCTCTGTGAGGTGTTCCAAGTCTGTACATGAGACTCCAGCAAGCAGCCCAAGGGTTCAGTCTGGTCCTCATATGATCCAGTCGGCCCAGTACATGGCACAACCATTGTACCAGGCGCCGGTTTTACCTTACATGCAACCTGCCCTCTTTGGAGGACAGGCGGCATACGCTATCAGCCAATGGACTAGCAGCTTACGCTGCAGTACCTTGGAGATCAACCCTCTGCTTTCTCCAGGGAAATAATTGAGGCCGTACAGCCGGCCAAAGTTAAAAACGTCCTGGTTGGAGCCTATGACGGAACCTCCAACCCGGAAGACCACCTGCACCCACCTCATGTATCTACAGGGGTTGGATGATGCCGCATGGTGTCGTTGCTTTCCAGCCACCCGAAGGGCATAGCCCAACAGTGGTTTGGCAATCTGTCGGCTGGCTGCATAAATAGCTTCAAGACGCTTGCGTTCTTGTTTTCTTCAAACTTCTCTATGAACATCCCTGCCAAAAAGACAAGTCTTGACTTGGGCAATGTACAACAGGGAGATAGAGAAAGCTTGCGTTCCTATTTCAGGCGGTTCAATATGGTCCGAATCCAGATTCATGGGTTGTCTGATGAGGTCGCTTTCACAGACTTCTTTAAGGGTCTGAAGGACGGGTCTACTTTTAAGTACGAATTCGTCCGCAAACAAATCTTTACTCTGCAAGAAGCCTTGCGAGAGGCGGAAGCCTATATACAAGCAACCGAACTCTGCTCCTCCAATAAGCAGCCGGACCATAAGAAGTCCGACCGGCAGAAAGAGAGTCGGCCTGCTCATCCGGCTCCAAAGCAAGAAGAGAGCAAAAAGGAAAAGTAAGTCTGGGCCATTGATAACTCTGATCAATTGGCCCAGAAGAAGAAAAAAGAGTGGAAACCGTACGTCCCAAGGTACGAATTCCACAAGGAATGCTGCTCTATCCTCTTGGAAATTAAGGATCGGCTGACTCTTGAGAAGCCGACTCCTATGAAAGGTTCCGCTGAAAATCGGAACAAGAACAAGCATTGCCATTTCCATGAGGATGTTGGCCATGACACGAACGACTACTTTAGTCTCAAGCGGGAGCTCGACTGTTTGGCCGACAAAGGACAGCTGAAGTCCTATGTGAAGTCCAAAGTGACTTCAAAGGAAAATCAAGGGTAGTCCAAGAAAAAGACTCCCCAGCCTGTTGTGAGTGCCGAAACTGATGAAGAACCGGTATACACCATAGCAGGCGGCTTTGTCGGTGGTGGCCCGACCATTCAGGGCACCAAAGACCATCTAAGGAAGATGGTCAAATCTGTTGAGGAAGGGGATGCGGCAGGCACATCCGCCTTCCCTAAAGTTGTCATCACCGAGAAGGATAGAGGCAAAGTCCGTCGGCCGCATGATGACCCTGTTGTCATTGAATGCAAGGTCGCCAACCAGCTGGTTGGTCGAATTCTGATTGACACAGGAAGCTCCTCTGAACTCATTAGCCTCAAATGCTTATCCAATCTCAAGTACAAACCGGATAGCATGATGGAGGTCTCCCACACCCTTGTTGGGTTTGGGGGAGGACTTGTGCACCCAGTCGGATGAATTGACTTACCTGTCCGCTTGGGAAGCAGGGGAGACGGTCGGCACATGACCATCCGTTTCCTAGTGGTTGAAGAGCTCACAGCTTGCAACCTCATCTTTGGCCATCCCACTCTTAATGAGTGCAAGGCCGTCATCATTCCTGCACTCATGCTACTCAAGTATGAGAAGGATGATGGAACAGTCGATTCCCTTAATGGGGACCAAAAGACAGCTCGAGAGTGTTACCTCTCGGACGTCAAGCCCGCGGCCGAAGCATCTGGTCGGGGCAAGCAAATGATCGAACTCGACGATGTCGAGAAAGAACAGTCGGCCCCACCAGCCGGAAAGAAAAGAAAAACTGATCAGCTGGTGGTGGTCAAAAAAGAAAAACAATAGAAATCACTGATCGGGGAACGGTCAGATGATCTCCGTCCCCAGCCTGCTGGTGAACACATTGATATCCCTCTGGACGACAGCCGTCCAGAGCGGACTGTTAAGGTGGGGACGGTTGCATTTGCAAAGCTGGGTGAAAGCCTTCACCAGCTGCTGAGGGAATTCAAAGACATCTTTGCCTTTGAAGTGGAGGAGATTCCAGGCATCAGCCTAGATCTGGCTGCCCACAAACTCGTCGTGGATCCTAAAAAGAAGCCTATCCGGCAAAAGAAAAGAAACCACGGCAAAGGAAGAAGTCAGGCGGAAGCTGCCGAAGTAAAAAAGCTGCTGGATGCCAAGTTCATTCGGTCGTGCAATTTCCCTGAGTGGGTATCTAACGTTGTGTTAGTAAAAAAGCCGAATGGAACTTGGCGGATGTGTGTTGACTACACAGACCTCAACAAGGCTTGTCCAAAGGATAGTTATCCATTGCCAAAGATCGACAGTCTGGTCGACTCAACAGCCGGACATGCCTTGATTAGTTTTATGGACGCCTATTCAGGTTTCCATCAGATCCCCCTGTGGAAAAAAGATCAAGAAAAGACGTCATTCGTCACTAATAAGGGGTTGTTCTGTTATCGATGATGTCGTTTGGTTTGAAGAATGTGCCCGCTACTTTCCAACGAATGATTAATACGGTCTTCATTAATCAAATTGGAAGGAATGTAGAGGCGTACATTGATGACATGATAGTCAAATCCAAAAAGCAGGCGGATCATCTTGCTGATCTCTGAGAAACATTTACCACACTCAGGCGGCACAAGGTCATGCTAAACCCAAAAAAGTGTGTCTTTGGTGTTGAGTCTGGGAAGTTTCTCGGATTTTTGATTGACCAAAGGGGAATAGAGGCCAACCCTGAGAAAATACAGGCGGTAATCGACATGCAGTCGCCCCATACTGTGAAGGAAGTGAAAAAACTAACAGGTTGTCTGGCGGCCTTGGGGAGATTCCTCAATCGGTCAGGCGACAAGTGCCTCTACTTCTTCCAGGCAATCAAAAAGAAGACCAACTTTGAATGGGGGAATGATGCAGAGGCGGCATTTCAAAAGCTGAAAACTCATTTGCACTCTTTTCCAATGCTTGTCAGCCCTTTGCCCAAAGAGAAGCTCTTCATGTACTTAGCCGTCTCTGATCATGCCCTCAGTGTCGTTCTCTTAGCTGAAAGAGACGGCATCCAGCTCCCGGTTATTTCATTAGCCATATTCTAAGAAACGCGGAGCTTTGGTACCCCATGGTTGAGAAATTTGGCCTTACCCTTTACATGGCTATCAAGAAGCTAAAACCCTACTTCTTGGCGCATGCGGTAGAAGTCTGTATTGACCAACCGATCAAACGGCCACTCACAACCCTGGAGTCTTCTGGACGAATGCTTAAATGGGCTATTGAAATGCAAGGATTAGAAATCACTTGCGAACCAAGGAAGGCAATAAAGGGGCAAGCATTCGCCGACTTTATTGTCGAAATGACAAGGCCGGTTGTACCGGTCAATACAGACCAGGTTTGGAAAGTGTATGTGGATGGGAGCTCCACTGTGAACGGTTGTGGTGCAGGGATTATCTGTTAGTCTCCTGAGGGAGATAAGTACGAATACGCACTACGGTTCAAGTTCCAGGTCTCTAACAATGAGGCCGAGTATGAGACCCTGCTGGCCGGCATTCGGTACTGCAAGGCGGCAGGAGCAAAGAAGATAGCCGCCTGCTCTGATTCTCAACTGGTCGTACTACATGTTAATGGAACGTACGAGGCCACTCATCCGGCAATGATAAAATATTTGCAGGCGGTCAAGAGTGAAGTTGGGACACTTGAAGAATTCCATCTAACTCAAGTGCCCAGGTCTTCAAATAACCAGGCGGA